TTGTTTTAGTTGTTGTTGTTTATTTAGTTGTATTTAGTTTCAATAACTTTTCTTTATAATGCAATAAAATCTGGCGAGCAGCTATTTAAACGATCGAACACTTCGTTTGTTTATTTGTGGCTTGAAGTTAGGCTCGCAGAAAATGCCGTTCATGGGTTAAATTTAGTAGGAACAACACAACCTGTGACGTAGGCTATATTATACCCAATTACCAAAATATTTGAAGTCAAGATTATAAGGTATTACTCAGGTTAAGAGGTATTTCATATTCTCAAGGAAGTTGCATTTGAACCGATCTCCTTCGTATTTTGGATTTTGTTGCGTCAAAATTGTGTATTGAATTTGTTGAAATATAATTATTTCTCGTCTACGTCTTTTACTTAATTTATTATTTATGTATTTTATTGTGATATTGAGAGTTCATTCATCTAGTGAAATGATTCGTTGAATTTAAACTACACCGAATCAACAAAAGCAGCATTAAAAGAAGAAAAATAAATATTGCTACCATTAATTAGTTTATCGTTGACTGTCTTAATATAGTCAAATGTTTCCAATATATAAATGTGGTCACTGGACGTAGCAACATCGCCAATCTCTTTTGTGTTCACATCAGCGACACCCACTGCGAAGATAACGACGCCGTTCTGTTTCAATATCCTGGCTTCAGAAACCGGATCGAATCCGGAATTGCTTTGCCCGTCTGTAATCAGTACGATGATTCTAAAATAACAACAAGAACAAAATAAACAACACAAATACCGTCTGAGTATTATTATATATATTTTTTATTACAGCTGATCAGTTCCTTTTTTAGCATGATATTAATGTAACACACCACTCAATAAGACTCTGGCTTGACACATAAATTACACTATTGATAACATATATTGATATTGATAACCATACGATTTCTAGATAATAGCAATTTCAAACGATAACTGTCGAAATTTCATGACATTTTGATTATTAGTTTAGAGGTTATAATTAATTTTAGTGACCCTAGTTTTGCAATTTTTTTAAAAAATAGATAGAAAAGAATTGTCGTGCATTGATTAAGCATTGCTTTTCGATGGGGAAAAATGTTGTTGGAGCAAAAAGGTTGCGCGATAAGCCTTCTGAAGACTTTGTACCAAGGAAATCAACTATTATTGACTGATACGACGTAAAGACGCTGATGATGCTGAACGCTCTGGTCGTTCAAAATCAGCAGTTGTTCCCGTAAACATCAAATAAGTTCATAAAATAGTTTTGAGGGACCGCAAAGTTGCGAGGGAGAAACTGACACCTTGAAGATATCAGGAGGTGAAGTGTTTGCAATTTTACATGAAAATTTGAGCATGCCCCAATTGCTCTCAAAATGAATGGCGCAGGCCGGGATAGCCTGGTTGGTAGGACTCTGGGCCTATGTTCAAGAGTTCGTGGGTTTGATCCCCGCAGGCCGAAGACTCCCCGTGTAGTAAATGTTGACTGGTGCACGTTAAATTGGTCGAGTCGCAAAGTCCTCTATGTTCCCATAACTAATCAATATCTCTGGGAGTACTGATCCAGGAGTTTTCTTGTCTTCTGGATTGGGTTCAAAACTACATGGCTACGGAGTTGAACATTAGTAGTCGTAAACCAAAAATTTTTGTCGGCTGTTCAATGACGGATATAAAACATAAAAATAAAATGTATGCCGCGCTTATACCCTCTTTCCACACTCCAGGTTTGAGCCAGCTTAATCAAAGAAAACTTAAATCCGTTTCCATTTGCATGCATTTTATTTTATAACCGTCGTTAAACAGCCAACTGAATTTTCAGTTTACGTCTACTGATATTCATTTCCGCATCCTTGTCCTTTTGAATCCAATCCAGAAGACAAGGGAATTCCTGGATCAAGTGTTGAGAGAAATTTTCCTTCGGGAAGACTTTTTGATAGAACTAACCCGCATTTGCATTACATGGCGAGGAAATCCATGAAAGCCTCCCACGGTTAGCCTGACCGTAGGGGAACTCTAACTCATGATCCATAATAATTGCATTTTCAGTTCCCAGTCAGAGATCAGAATTGAAAAATGTTTTGATGTTGGATAAATCTTGGTACATTATTGTCTCTCAAAAAATACTTCTAGGGACTAATATAGGGGATATCTATGTCGATACAAGTTACCTTTTTTTAGAATATTTCATGGTATTTTAGAATTATCCTTTTTTTAGAATTATTCGAGTCTAGCTAATTTTGTTTCGTGATGAAAATGTGAAGGAATGTATTATTAAAATATATTCAAAATTGTTCAACATCAAAATTTGAAATTTTTTTGCATAATAATTAAAAATGACTAAAAATGTTAATTATGTTTTATTATTGAGCTTTTTTTAAATATTTCGTCGTATTTATGAGCTTACTTGCTTCGAAGCAACATATTTTTGAATAAAAATTGGATTTTGTGTCATTATGCCTCAGAGGAACATGTAAGTTAAGAAGGAAAGAAAAGAAAGAAAAAAATGAGTCTGTACTACTTTACAAATAAATAATAGAACTCTGCATTCTACTATTTGTAAACAACTCAAATCCATTAGTTTCTTTTTTAAAAAAGATACCAGTAGAAAATATTTGAATTCCAAAAATGTTGCTTTAGAGATATTAATTTATGAAGTCAAATTGAAGTATTCCGTGTATCGTCACAATTTTAACCATTTTTCCGACGATAAAACAACATTCAACAGGATTTTTATACCTGATGACATTTCATCTAAATTATTAGCTAAAATAAAATTAATTAAAATAATTATCTCTATTTTAATTTGTCTTTTGAAATTTTGACCTCATTCCGATTAATTAGAGTGCTCAACTTTTAACTGGAGGTCTGAGCCTGAAAAAAATAAAAGTCTTTTTTTTTTAAAATGTTACACTAGAAATTTATCTCTATTTTAACTCGCATATCGGAATTTCGACCACTTTCCAATATGCTGGAGTGCTCAAGTATCAAGTGGATATCGGTTGCTGATGACAATAGAAGTCAAAATGGTTCACTGAATGTTATAAATAAAATTTATCTCCCTTTATTTAGTCAATTTAAATTTCAAAAATTCTCTGGCATAAATAATTTAATGGACACAAACTTTAAAAAAAAAATAATAGTAAAATTAAACAAAAGTTTTGAAAAAAAACTACTATTTTCAAACTTATCTCTATTTTATTTCAATTATCGAAATAAACAATAACAATTGAACATAAACATAAACAATTTAATAGGCACAAAGCTAAAAGGAAGAAAATTATAAACTTAAATAGAAATTCGAAAAATTACATTTTTCAAGTTGACTAAAAAGGAGAAAATAATTTTATATTTGCGACACCAAAAAAGTAAAAAATAAAAAGAAAAAATTCTCCAATTTATTTTGTTAAATCGAAATATCTGAAAACTATCTGACACACACACAAAAAGGCTAAAGAGATAAAAAAAAAAAAAAAGCGTTGAGTTCGTAATAAATTTCTTCCATCACCGAAAATTCCCCCCCCCCCACGTCTTTCGAAAATGATTTGCCCACGTTTTTCGTTTTTAAATGTGATAAAACCACAATTATTTTTGCCTTCTTAATCTACTTGATAAACGTAATTTTTTAAATCTTTTGTGTCATTATACTATAGCAAAAAAAAAAAAAAAAAAAAAAAAAAAAAAAANTATATAAAAAAAAAAAAACGTTAACTCACTTGTTCGTGTTCTGCCTTGCTTGAGAAAATATCTCTGTGCTATTCCTCATAGCAATACTGGTTCTTGTACCTTCTCCTTTATAATCCAAACTATGTATTTTTGCCATGAGGGTACACATATTATTTCCTACACTATCTTTAATATAGTTCACGTGAATCCTAGTGTCAGTTGAAAAGGAAATAACAGCCACTCGGGTTTTGTCTGCAGAAACTGAAAATCTTCGTGCAACTAATTCGGTAAATGTTTTAACTTCTGGATATTTAGCTGCTGTTATACTTCCAGATTCGTCTAAAAGGAAAATAACCTCGTTGCGGGTATTTTCGTACTTTTCCAGGGTACCTAAAAACTTTTTCAAATCTTCACTAATTGTCACGTTGTCTCTGCCCCTAGCATTGATCGAACACAGCAGACACAACCATTTAACCAACAACACGGCTAAATAACTCGAAGAAATCTTCATTTTTAATGTTAGTTTAAGTAGTTTCGGATAATGAATTCTATTTACATTTTTACTTCAACGTGCTAATCGAAGATATCCAACATTTATTCGAGAAAAAAAGTGTTTCGATGGAAGATGAGTATGAGTCTGGCCTTTTAATCGGAAGAATAAGAGAGTCATATCTTTTAATTCATCTCTGAGGAAGTGCATGTGATTATGTTTCATCCGAGTTTGAAAAAATAAACTCATCATCGAGGGAAGTGTGTAAAAATTAAATTAGGAAAGCTTTACTTCCTAGTTATTTTTCCAAAACTGTAGAATCGGCGATATTTTTTTTCTTCTAATCATGAGTGTCAAAAATGGACTCGATTCTGATCCGTATTCTGATCCGTCAGCAGGAGAACCCGAACAAAGGACGGCGCATAAACAAACAGTGCTACCTTTTGTAACATAAATGTAAATTAGAACAAACTACCCTGTTAAAAAAAGAGATAAATTACAATATCAGTTTATCTGAATTAAATCTTCTTTCACAATCCTGTCTATGACCTTAAAAACATTAAATTTCATTAACGAAAACATTTCAGTTAATAGTATTAGCATTTTAAATTGACAAGAATCACTCATCGAATAATATAACTACGCTGCAGTTCTTAGAAATGAAGTAACAGTAATTTATTTAAAATGCTAGTAGTTATTGTGGTTAGTTAACAACTACTCTTTTATTAAATGTAGTGATTCAAAATTAAATAACCTTTTTATTTTAACCTTAAAAGGTTATTTCATTTAAAATAAATAAATTAAAAATATTCTATTCAACTTATTCATAGATTTATATGATGATCATGATTGCAGCCCATGAGCGATTTGAGTTTATACATATTTGTCAGTGGCAGCCAACTAAAGAAGAATTTTTTAAAAAAAATAATAGAACTCCGTAAGGATTTTGGAGTATGAGCATTTCTCTATCTAATCTTTAATTTACTATTAAAATATTTATAAGTAGTAGTGAAAAAAAGTTCAATTAATTCTAATTCATTAAAATATAAATACACTAGCCGGGATAGCCTGGTCGGTAGGGCACTGGGTCCATGTCCGAGAGTTCGTGAGTTTAAACCCCGCCGTCCGAAGACTCCCCGTGTAGTAAATGGTGACTGGTGCACGTTAAATCTGACGAGTCGCAAAGCCCTCCATGTTCCCATAACAAATCAATACCTCTGGGGGTATTGGATCGGAGATCGATTGTTCTTTGATCCAGGCCGCATCCGACCCGCGGAGCCTTTTTTTGTGGCCCGCGAACTAAAATATATTAGTTGTTATTTTTTGCGGACAATTCTCGTAAAAAAATCTATATGGGTTTAAAATATTTTTCTCGTTAATAAAAACCTAATTTCTTCGTTTCTGTGAAATTTAACATACCAACGGTGCAAAAAAATTTCTTTCTCTGGTTTTGCATCCAAGAAAATATTTATTCAAATGCAAAAATAATCGTGTATGTTGCTCTTTTTTTATTTCATTTTTTTTTTGTATTTTGTGAATATAATGTAGCATGTGTGTATCAGAAATTTTCTCGAAGAAATTCTCCGATTTAACTTTTTGAAACCGCTCATTTAGGACGAAAATATTTACACACACATTTGTAAATTTTAAATGTAACTATCTATTCTCTTATGGTTGCAGCAGACAGACCTCAATTTTCTCATTGAACATTTTGTGTGCTACTATGTAAGTTTTAATACTAACCTTTTTAAAGTTTTTTTATCTTAACAATTAGATATCTGTTGTACATAAATTTTTCAATACATAGGAGCACATTAAAGTTATTGTAGCCCGAATTTTAATTACTTATTTAATATTTTTTTAAATATTATTAATAACAATTAGATATTTTTAAAAATCAACTTCTTATTTTAATTTGTAATTCAATACTTTTGTTTTGTACAACTTGGTAAAAATCTGGCAGTAATATTTAATGTTCCTTCAAACATAAAAGAGTCCTACATAAAATTTTGACAAAGTTGTGGCCCGCCATTTGATTTGTGTTTTTAATTGTGGCCCCCGGCCTCATGTAAGTTGGAAACCCCTATTCTAGACAAATAAATACCTTTGCTCCATTACTTTTGCTTTCTAGTACATAGCTTATTTCTTTCATTTCAATATGCATATATTACCTTAATTATAAATAAGCATCATTGGCGTAATTAAGCCTCATTAGTGCAATATTTTTAAGCTTCTACTATACGAATTAGTATCACTTAAATTTTTCCTTTTGAATACATAAATACTTTTTTTCTCTTCCATTACCGTTGGTTTTAAATTAGTAATTTTTTTCGAAACACATGAAAAAGATATATAAATATAAATAAAATAAAAGCACGTGGTATCAGAGAAAGTATAAATTTGGTGACGTAGACCACACGTGCTACCACTTAATGATCATTGAATTTATCTGACATACCGAATATAATAACTAAATATTTAAATACGAGCAATAAACTATTTTTTGATCAAATAGAGCTATAAGATATCAATTATTTCTGATGTATCTTTAAAATATGTGAAAAATTGGCTTGTAAGTTTAAAACAATTGCTAACGCTAAACCAATCAGAAAATTCAATTTCGTTTTTCCCTCATCCTGCTAGAACAATTTGTCGTACAATGTTCTAATGTCGACAGTGACCTTCCTCGTGCTTTGAGCTATCGGTATGACGAGTTTCATCTTAGAGGAGTAATTGGGGTAGAGAGCG